CCAAAAATATTTTCTCTCTCTGTTCTATAAATAAGACCAGAGGAGTACTATTAATGATCATTTATGATTAAAAAATTTGTTATGATTTTAAGCTTTAGAGATAAATCTGTAAAAAAAACAATTTCAAAGTGTCCAAAATCCAAATCTTGTAAGTAAAAACTTTTAAGAAAACTTTTGAAATGATTTATATACAGCTTTTTAATCATGACTTAACGTAAAAAATAAATATATAAGAAAAAATTTGTCTCTACTTATAAATATTTTTAATCTAAAAGGCTCTAAATTTTCATCTTTAACCCAAAAAGGAAATTACGTCTTACGAGGGGAGACGCGTCGGCGTCGACCCCAGCCTTTGAAGAAATAATCTTGGGACCCATTATATCTTGTAATAACCGACTACCATTTCCTTCTAAGAGACGGCAAAGATGCTCCCAGATTTTTTCCCATTCGAGTGGAATGCTTAACCCCTAATAATTGTGAATAGTGATACTTCAAAACAGCAGAAGTATTGGCGCTAAAAATTAAGTTTGATTTTGCCCGATTAATCGTAAGACCCGATACCCTTCCAAAGTCATCTAAAATTTGAGAAACTTGCTCAACCTGACTGGAGTTAGCTTGAAAGAAGAGAATTGTATCATCTGCATACATCAAATGAGACAATGCCAACGAATCCCTGGCTACTTTAATACCCTTCCATTTGCCTTGGTTCTGTAGTGATTGAAGTCCACGAAAGAGCATTTGCGCAAATAATAAAAAGATGAGGCGACGACGGGTCCCCTTGCCATAGACTTCTTTGTGGGAGAAAATGTTTAGAAAACACACCATTTAAATTCGCTTGATAGGATACAGACGTCACACACTGCATGATTAAACGTACCCATACCTCAGGAAATTGCATTCTCTTTAAAGTATATTCAAGAAAATCCCAAGCCATGGAATCATATGCCTTAGTGAAATCAACTTTTGAAGCAGCCCAGCAAGTGTTCCCTCTCCTCATGCAGTGAATTTTATGAAGAACTCGAGAAACAATAAAAAAGTTATCAGAGATCAAACGCCCATTTGAAAACGCACTTTGCTATGGAGCAATATAATCCCCGAAAAAGATTGCAAACCGTTACGGGTAGCTTTGCAATGATCTTATAACTGACATTGCATAAGCTTATAAGCCTCTGGTCCCTAAAAGACAGCACTCAAACATTTGGGAATTAAAGTGATAATGGACCGATTTAGCTCCTTCAACAAAAAACCAGATGCTGAACCATAGAACAAATATCTTTTTTCAACAAATCCCAGTTTCCCAGTTCCTTTGAACGAAACGAGCATAAAAACCTTCTACTCCCGAAGCACTCTCTGCTGGCAATTGAAAAACCGCTTCCTGAATTTCATCCATCGTAAATTCTTTTGGCAGAAAATTCTTATGAGATTAAGATAAAACAGGAATAGGAATATTTTGTAGCCAAGGAACAGGCACTGCAAAAATAGAGGAAAAATAGGTAACTGCTTGCTCAATGAAGATTTGCTCATCCTCAATCCAATTCCCCTGATTATCCTTAACTCGAATGAGACTCTTGGCGGCCTGCCTTCGTTTAACACGGGAATGAAAATATTTCGTATTTCCATCACCATGATTAAACCATGACATTTATGCACGTTGTCCCCATAAAGTTTCCAGACATACATAGAGAAATTCGAAATTGTGCCTCAATTGAATCTCCTCCTCTTGATGGTTTAGAAAATCTGTCATCGTAAAAGCTCTGTTCCACTCCATTTAACCAAAGACCTCATAGTTCTGGCTAGTTTAGTCTTAAGTCGGAAGGCCGCAGAACCCGTTATGTGAGTATTCAAGCATTGAGGAATAATATCATGAGCCTGCTGAAAAGATTCCCAAATAACTTCATACTTAGAATAAGGTCTTCGTTTCATACCATTCTTTTCTTCTGAAGTAAGTAAAATAGGTGTATCGTCAGAACCAGCTCTAAGGAAAACAACAATTCTGGTATTTTAGTGCATGGAAAACCAAAGGTGATTATATAAGGCGTTATCCAATCTGGCCCAAACCCGCTGGCGACCACCTCTATTATTAGACCAAGTAAACCATTGCCCTTCTTGAGGAACATCATACAGTCATCTACACTAATCTGTTTCTGGATTCTTGCAAATGGCTTAATCTGAATGAATTGACCATGGGGTATATATTTGTCCAAGTATCAACTACATTTATTTGTCTTCTTCATCTTCTTGAAATAACCATATCCTTGTGATGTATCACCTACCTCTAGTTCTCTAGTTAAGACCTAGTTGACTAGTTTAGAGATATCAGGAAAGTTAGTAAATTATTTAATTATAGCACATATTACATGATCTCTCTAAAATATTTATCCGGACCATTATATTATATATCAATTTATAAGTGAGACAAATTAATTTAAATAAAAATGATAAATATAAATAGTTTAAAGTACTTTATTAACTTTCTTAATTTTTTTGAATTAGTCAATTGTGTCTTGTATTAAGAGCTAGATGCAGTAATTGTTTTCTTGATTTAGTATCAACGTAGAAATAAATATAAGATTAAATTGCTCATGCAAATTGAGTTATGTCTCTTTAGTTCTCCATATTTTTATATGCTCTGTTTCATTGGAATCCATACATCAATATGTTACTTGCCTAAATCTTCTATTGCTATTTGATATCATCGATATTAAATCAATCCATCTAGCTAATTTGTTCAGTCAAGTCGTATAGTTTTATGAAACTTCGTTATCCAATTCTCTTTCAAAATTTGAAACAGGGGAGGGGCGTTCTGCTAGATGGTTGAGCCAAAGTGAAGGTTTTCGGGCTTCATTATGTTTAACGATCTCTTGCTTCATCCTCCTCTCTAGCTCCTTCATTTCACAATGGTTAACTTTCCTACATTGAATTCAACTCTTTCTTTTCGCCATTTCCCTCTAAGCTTGCATATAAGTATATAGAGATCCTGATTATAGTTTAATTTCATAACTGTTTCTTTCTATTTTCCCCTTTTTTCTAGTTTATTATGATAAGTAATATGATTATGTAAGTTGTTGAAAATCACTATTGGGACTGACAAACCAAGAGGTCAAAAACGTGCAATAATGGCATATCAAGGAGTCCTCAAGCTCTCCTAAGTGGAAATATGATCTTTTCTTGAGTTTTACAAGGCAAGACACTTGAGTCAATCTTAGGTACGTAGAAGTGGTATCACAATTTTCACTTTAGGAGTGATGAAATAAAGAGAAGTTATGAAGAATATATTGTAGAGAATATATTTTTCTTGAAAGTAACTGAAAGTCAGGGATAAAGGTTTATAGAATTTTCGAATAATAATTGCATTATATCACCGCGTAAAATAAGTGACCAACTAGAAATTTCTCGTGTGATGAACAGACTACTATATTTAATTAGATATGAAATTAAACAATATTTACTTTTAATTTAATATATTTAAATTTCTATTAAGATATTATTCAAATCCAAAATTAATTATTAATTTTTTCATCTGAGCCTCTAGTTGAAATCCTATTCAATTATAGTGCTTCCCATTTAATTCAATACATTTAAATCCCAATCAAGATATTATTCAAATCTTATTAATTGAATATATTCAGATCCTATATTATTATATCTAACTCATTTTCAAATGAACTGGATATTACAAGATTTTAAGAATATAGGTGATGATTGATGGTTTATATATATATATATATATATATGTATAATGTACGTGTATCTGAACAAAAAACGAGAAGAAAGGAAAAAATTCATTATAAAAACCAAACTTAGAGTCCCTTGTCAGTATTCTAAGGGCCCACAGTTGAAATGCGGATGGCGGGCGAATGGGTTACCACAAGCAGAGGTTGCTGCTTGTGTTATTAATTTTAATTAATCTTTCTCAACCATTTGATAACTTGTGATGAGTATTAATTTGATGCACGGAATAATAGGAAATATGTTTCTCATATTCATTTTATTTTCTTTACTTCTGTCATTGTGAATTGTGATAATTCCATTGTCTTTTTTTAGTTGTAATTTCATATATGGTTGGTGTCACATGTAACGCTCTCAAAGAGTTTCTGAACAAACATCTGGGCTTGTAGAAGCTTTTGACAACTTCATTCAATATCTTTGGTAACCTAATATCATTAACAGAGTTAGACTTAAGCTAATGTGGCATTCGTTATTACATTCTAGTTGCTTCTTCTAAACTTTTTCATCTACACTGTGATCTGTTTCTGGATTCTTGCAAATGTCTTAATCCGAATTAATTGACCATGAGGTATGTTTGTCTAACTATCAACTATATATATTTATTTGTCTCTTTGTCTTCTTGAAATAACCATATCCTTATGGTTTAATTGTTTTCCTGATTTAGTATCAACGTAGAACTAAATATGTGATTAAATTGCTCACGCACGTTGAGTTATGTCTCTTTAATTCTCTATATAATCATTACTAAATCAATTTATCTAATTTGTTCAGCGAGGTTGTATAGTCTTATGTGCTAACTTAAACTTGTAATTATGTATGAAACCTGGATCCTATTCTCTTCCAAAATTCGAAACAGGGGAATTGTGTTCTGCTGAAGGATTGATCCAAATTAATTGAAGGTTTTCGAGCTTCATTCTATCTGATATTCTCTGCTTCATCCTCCTCTCTAGCTCCTATATTTCACAGTTGCCTGGTTGCTTTTCCTACATTAATTTAAACAAAAGCGAAATACACTTTCAATCTTGCCCACTGAATTCAGATATTTCTTTTCACCATTTCCCTGTAAGCTTCTATATAAGTAATTAGAGACCCTGCACTTTTTTTTTTTGAAAAAAAAAACCAACTCAGTATGTCCCTTAGTCTAATTTCATATAAGTCTAATTTCATATAACTAGTTCTTTTTATTATCCTTTTTTCTTCTCTGTTTACTATGGTAAGTGATATGATTATGCTGCTGAAAATCACTACTGGGATAGACCAAGAGGTCAAAAATCTACAATGGCATACCCTTTATTTCCATCTTATCAGTTTTATTTTACAAATCACTTGTATGCAAATATAATCTAGCTGTAAGTAGGTAGAGTGGTATCGTAGTGTTCAGTGATGAAAGAAAAAGAGAGGATAAGTTGTGACACAACAATTCTAAAGCAATTGAGGATTTTGCAAATATAATCTAGCTAATTTTACAACTTCATAATGAACTTGCGAAGCATTCTCCAAGAAAGCTTGAGTTCATCATCAGGAGCAGCAAGTTGTGGTCGGGTGAGTTGGTCGGAATCCCTGAGATTGCACCACTCTTGTATGTCTTCTTTACATATCACTCTCCACCCACTTCCCTTTATTTCCATCTCACCGACGTACGTCGAAAGTTTAATGTGAAGGGAATTGCTATCATGAGCTCTTAGGTGCTGCCAACATGTTTCCTCATTTAATTCCAACACCATTATGCACTGGTTAGCCATAGGATAATTAAAGACGAAAATCGAATGCCTCCCCAAGTTGTGTATATAATCATCATCATCTTCTGCAGCTTTACTACTCCAATCAATCTCCATGTCACCACAACCTGAGATAAGGAAACATACAACAATTCCGCACCATTTACTATCGAAACAACGCTGAGGTATGTCCACTTTTATCACATATTCATATTCCCCTCTCTTCTCAGACAAAGGATAATCTTCTTTATTTTGAAACCATGATGGCATTTTGCATCCGGGAATAATTGCATAGAAATCTCTCGGGGCAACACATTCAAACAGCTGCAAACATACCAAATTGTTATTAACATTAATTACCCCATGAAGGGAGCATATGTGACACAAAAATGAGACATACATACATACATACATTGAACATATATATACCAGCCTCTTCTTCCTCATCATAAGGGATTACATATTTAGTTAGCCCACGACACTGAAATAAAGAAATAGTTATGTTATGTAATTGTAGTTTTAAGAGGGGGGATACACATTATAGGTTGTAGGAAGAGAAACATATACCTCATGGTCAAGTGAAGCAACCAAATTCCATACTTGTCCATCTGATGATAATGGTTCCATCGAATCACAATTGGAGGCATTTAATCGAATTAACCGTGGTGGAAGCCTTGGCAATGACTTAAGCATCACGCAAAAATCCAATGAAAGAAAGACAAGTCGGGAAAGACCAGAGAAGCAACCAGTGGGTAGATTAACAAAATCATTACCTGATAGATCCAATACAATGAGTGATGATAAACTGTGAAAATCATCAGGAATCGATCCATCATTTATGCCACACCACTCTAAATATAACTCTGTTAATGACGTTACATTCAAGCCAGCAATTTGACGAGTTATGTGAGTCTTCAAGAACTCGTCAAGATGAAGAATTTTGCAACACCGTAAATCTAAATATCCAAGACCCATCAAGGATCCGAGTGATACAGGAAGTGTACGTATAGCAGTATTACTTGCATCAAGATATGATAATTTTTTCATACCTTTCCCAAACTCTGGGAGCACTGTAACTTTTCTACACCCACTAAGATCTAACTTCATCAAGGAATTTGTTTCCAATTTTTCTGGTAGGGTTTTCAAGATTTTCACAACCATCCAAGTACACTTCAACAAGTTCTTTTAACTGTCCAAGTGAGGGATGAACCTTGACAAGAGATTTGCAGCCACTAAGACGTAAATGTTCTAAATTTGGAACTGTTGAGAAGTCTGGAGTTTCCGTAAAATTGAGAGAATTTCTCAAGTCGATAAATTTCAACTCTGCCATAAACTAGAATCAAACAAAATATTATAGAGTTAATGTCACTAAACAATGTATCAATAAAACAATGACACAAATATATTTTCAAGATAAACAATGATGCATGAAGCATCAATTGCACCTGTTTGTCATTCCAAAGTTGCTTTATTTTGCTATGATGCATTTCAATTTCAACAATTTTATGCAATGGAGTTTCAAGTGGAAGAGCTTCCAAAGGAAATGATGGCCATCGAAAAACTTTTAATGCACCAGATAAAGATTTCAATCCGCTTGGTAAGATGAACCATCTAGGATTTGAAAAGTGACCTAACATCTCCGCGAACAAGATGGACAAGTAGAATAACCTAATGTTATTCATCTTTGAAAAGGCTTCAGGATGTACTTCTACTTCTGGCTCCCCATAACAATCATCTTTCATAACAATAGCTTGTATTGCCTCAGATCCCTAATAAAAATGTCATTTTAAAGAAAAATAGCGTGAGAATGGTAACAGAGTAAATAATAATATTGAAAACAGTCAATGTATGTCAATGATATATTTAGAAAATAAGGCACTCACCTTGTTTTTTTCCAGTACTTCCTTAATGTCCTCAAACTTCCACAACCTACTACGCTTGCCAACATTATTGGGAGATTCTTGCTTAACTATATTCCTACCCAACTCTTGAAATAAATCATGCATCTCTAATCTGCAATCTTCCGATTCAACTAATAAAGTTTTCTGGATCAAGACATTTATTCCTATTGTTGCATGAAGACCACATCTTTCCAAAATTTGAGTCACATATTCTTTCTGCCAGCCCTTAAAGAAACAAGCAATATCTAAAAATATTGTCTTTTCTTCCTCATTCCTTAATCCATCGTAACTTATTTTAAGTACTTGAAGGATATCATTATCAGGAATTTGCTTCAACCTATCTAAAGCATCCATGCACTCAGCTTTACTCCTCCCACAAAGAAAAGAGCCCAAAACTTCAAGTGCCAAAGGAAGACCTCCTGTATATTCAACTACGGACTCAGACAACTTCAAATAATCCTCATCAGGAGGATGATCTTTGTTGAATGCTTTGTTTGAAAAGAGTTGAAGAGATTCATCTTTATTCATTGTTTTCATCTCATATATTCTTTGCACTCTAGATGATCTAAGCAACTGACTATCTCTTGTTGTGATTATTATTCTGCTTCCATTGCCGAACCAATTCGGACTTTTAGCCAAACTCTTTAATTGACTCGAATCATCCAAATCATCAAGAACAAGAAAAACCTTTTTATTGCAGAGAAACTTTCTTATCATCTTCATCCCTTCATAGTCATCACAAATTTCCATGTTGTTTATTTTGAGATGAGAAAGAAGCCTTTTTTGCAAAGAAACTAGGCCTTCTCTTTGCATGGTTTCTTTAACATTGGCAAGAAAGCAACACATTTCGAACTTGTGAAATAGTTTTTCAAAAACAACTTTAGCAAGAGTTGTTTTGCCGACACCGCCCATACCCCATATCCCTGCAAAACGTTTGTCATCCAACCCAATCTCCAAGATTGCCATCATATCAAGCACTCTTGACTCAATCCCAATCAGCTGATTGTCATCGTAAGATGGTAATTTAGAACCTAAATAAGTCCACACATCTCCAACTATTTTTTTTATAACATCTGCTTCGTGCCTACCAAAAGAAAAAATATCGTTGTTTAACATGCATGATTTATACATAGTTCTGATAAATTAAAATAATAATGAAAAATGTGACATTTAACGAGTATTGTTTACTAAAGCTACAATACATTTTTTATATAACAGGGAATTGTTGAGTAAATAAGAATTTATCCATCTGCTCATTATGTTAAAATTAGAAACGTGATCATTTTATACCAAAAAATTCAACTTATTCACAAGTTCGTTTTATTGATAGATATAAATTCATCACCTATTAATTATCAATGTGTACTGTTGTTCAGTTAAGCCGTTCATCATTGAAAATTTGATCCCCCCCCCCCCGGGGGTTAAGAGATCAAAATGGATGCCTTTCAATTTTCCTTACGTTGCCACAGTGGAAGGGGTCCTCACAATCTTAAATGATCTCGCACACAAAACATAAATGGACTTTTAATTTCAAGCTATACGAAATCTCCGGGAAATAAAAAAATGAAAAAGAAAATTTATGGTTAAGACACTTCATATATTACGGAGAAAATAATTAAATAGTGGGCTATAGGGGATTTTATTATTGAAATATATTTTCGTAAAATTAACTAACTGCAGTTAGGGGAAACGCTTATAGAAGTTTCAAATAAATAATAGAAAATTCACAACGAAGGGCGAGTGATATATTATGATTGTTAGTTATAATAAAAAAGGAACGAAAAAAAAAAGAGTTTTTATATTAGGTATGGAACACAATTGATTACGCCGTTAAAAGATTTAAAAAGAAATAAAAGTTTGATTGGTATTTTGTTGATGAGTAAGTTTAAATTGCAGAGTGACAACTGCTAGGTGAAGGGATATAAAAGTGCCACCAAATCCAGGAACCTTAAAAATAAATTTTGGGTCAGGTCAAAGATTTTTTTTTTTTTCTTGACTCAGATAGAAGTTCTTCAATATAATTGTTTCATGGTAATAATTTTCTCATGATAATATATAAAAACATAAAATAAGCTATAAATGAATTATTATCCACGAGACATTATATTGCATGTAATTATTCCGAGGCTGGCAAACAAGCTCGAGGAAAGGAAAAGGAAGACAATAAAAATCCTGATAAACTATTTAAACCAAAATTAAAAAGATCATAGGGGGAAAATATAAAATGTAAATAAATATGGAAAATATGACTAAAAGATTGTTAAAAAAAAAATAACTTACTTGCCCCTGGTGTCCCAACCAGACAAGTTGCCAATTTCACACAAAGCATCTTTCCAATTCTGCACTTTGGTCCCATCTTCTATGAACTTCTTTTCATATGCAGCCAAGGATTTCCCAAAACTGTTTCGTTGGTGTCTTACATCGGCTGGATCAACATCATAGAAGACTGGAAAAACCTGTCGATTCAATGTTTTTCGGGATTCAAGGATCTTTTGAAGTTCATCCAAACACCATGTAGAATTTCCATAATCTTCGGAGATAACAACTACTGCACAGAGAGAATCCTGGATTGCTTGAAACAGATCTTGTTTTATGTCTCCCCCTCTCTCAAGATCTACATCATCTCTGAAAGTTTTGATCCCACTTCTATTGAAAGCTTCATCCAAGTGATCTGTAAACTTCAAGCGAGTGTCTTTTCCTGCAAAACTCAAGAAAACATGATATTTCCAGTTAGGAGTTGAATTAAAAGGATCAGAACTGGAAGAAGATTCTCCTCCGACAGTATATGCCATTGCAGGGGTCCAATCTTTTCGTTTTGGCCAAAGAGTAATCTGCAACAACATAATCATATCAGTAATAACGCAGGAAAACAAGAAAAGGAATCAGATGTATGAAATTAGAAATAGAGGAAAGCAGAGAGAGGCTTTTGTGCAGATCCATAAAAGTCATTGTGCAGAGATCGATACTGTACTGTTACGAAAGTTATTGAAGTTATTGAGCTTGCTTGCTTCTGGACACTCACTGCTACGATCTGAAGACCCCAAGCTACCATAAAACGAGAGATGTGGGCGAATAAAGAACCAATTAACCTTTTTCCTTTCTCTTTTCCTAACCTGCTTTTTCCATTGAGTTAAAAGCAAATACTTGCTTTAGTGTGGCTTCATGATTTTTCCTTCTTTTTTTACGAGCAATGTTCTCGTTTAATTTACAAGCCTATACAAATACTGGTGCTTCAAACATTTTCCCAAAAACAAAATAAAGAAGAAGCAACCAGTTAAATCTGGTATATATTTTTAACTTTTTTGGCCAAATTTTAAATTTTTAGTTCACAAAGCATCACCACATCATCTAACCGATATAACCAAAAAAGGGTGTTTTTTTATAAACAAATTTACTTGGACTTTATAAGATGTTGGAGAGAGAAACGAGGATTCCAATTTCAGAGATATTATATTACTGCTTATTTCCTTGTGTGAAAATTGAAATTCATTATTTTTTCTAAGGCAAAAATGGGAACAATCGTAAGGTTTCTTCTGAGGAAGAGCTCTCAAAAATATTTATCCGAAAAGCAAAGAAAAATTATTGATGGTAATATCGAGAAAGAGAGAAAACAAAGGTGAAATAAATTTGAATAAAGATAAAGTTGAATTTTTTAATATATAGTAAATTTAATGAGTTAACCACTGATCTTCTGAAGTTATTAGAAAATGGTTGAAAATAACTTATATTTTGTATGGGAACAGGAGGAAATACTTCTCTGATCATTTTCCATTACCATTATAAGTTGCCTCTGAACATTTCTAAGATGAATAAAAGGTAACTATAAGTCATTAAAATTATTTAAAAATAAAATAAATTTTCTATTTTACTCGTGTCTAAAGAAATTTTTTTAAAATTTATTACATTCTTTTTCGTAATTAATAGCTCTAATTCGGGGTAACATATTGACAGAATCTAATTAATATCCTATAGTGATTTATGATAAAGAAAAGACTATTTATCTCTTTTTAAAAGGTGTTTTATAATTAGGACCGGGAAGATTATACAGTATAATTCACGCACGCATAAATCAATAAAAAAAATCAATATGAAAGCATATTCTTGATGGCAAAAAATAAAAAATGGAAAATGAAAGATCACAACCCATTTCAGTGGACTTAAACCCTTCACAATATTCCAAAAAGCATAGCGTTCGCTCCACGCAGTAGGCTAAAGACTTGATTAAGAGGATTGATTCTGTGTGTTCGTGGGAAAAAATTGCTAAATTGATATATTAATTATAGTAGCCGAAAGCATTTTTCTTCAGTATCATAAAATATTTTGTGGTTTGATTTTGTCCTTAAATTATATTGGGTTAAGTTGCATCCAACACGCCGAAGTACTTTCTTAGGTGCATTCAACATCCTAAAATATTTTGTGATACATTAAATATTCTAAAGTATTTTTCAGATGCATCTAGCACTCCGAATTTTTTTTTTTTTGCCTTGGTGCTGGATGCACCCAAAAAAATATTTTAGAATGCTAGATGCACTAAAAAATACTTCAAGGTACTGAACACATTTAAAAAAAACTTCAAGATACTGGAATAAAAATATCTAAATATAAAATATATAAATGCGTTAAGATGCAATTTTAATCCTGATTTTATTTCTCAGATGCAATTTTGCTCCTGGTCTTTCAATGGTGCAATTTTGCCCTTGATCTTATTTTTTTAAGTGCAATTTCGTCTCTAATATTTTTTTTGGATGCAATTTTATCCCTAATCTTTGGTGCAATTTTGACCCTGATCTTTGGTGCAGATCTTTTTTTTTAAAGTACAATCTTATCCCTAATCTTTGGGTGCAAAAAAAAAAAGATCAGGATTAAAATTGCATCACTAAAAAGATCAGAGGTAAAGTTATACCTAAGAAATAAAATCAAGATCAAAATTACACCTTAACCCTATATAAATGAATATGAATATAGAATAGAATCTATTTTTATTTATTTATTATTAATTTTAATTATATTTCCAAAACAGCAATTTTAACTTTACCGTTAACTTCCCAAAAATTCAATAAGTAAAAATACATCTAACACCGTTGAGTTTCTTTTAGTAGCACTCAACACCTTAAAATAATATTTTTGGTGCAATTTTACTTTTAAAGTACTTTTTAATTAATTTTTACCACATTTTTCTCATATTTCTAATACTAGACTTCTATTTTATAGTATTTTTAAGAATTAAGTTTTTTAATTTTTGGTCATCATCTTAAATATTTTCTAAACATATCTTCTATGTTTTTAATCATAATTTTTAATTATTTTTGCATTGAAAATATGGAAGATAAATATTGAAAAAATTTAAGATGACTATTGAAAAATTGGGAAGTCTTTACTAAGCAATGAAAACAATTAAATATTATAGTTGAAAATATGAAAGATAAGTCTAAAAAAGTTTCAAGATGACAAATGAAAAAATTAAAAAACTCAGTACAAAAAATATGGAAAATTGATACTAAAGATGTGGAAA